AGTTAAATAACGTTTAGAAAACTGAATAAAATAATAAGATAAATAAAGCTGGATAAATAAACAACAACTATATACGTTACCGAGAATGCAGGAAAGGTACAGTATTCTTAGAAAGAAGGTAAATTTACAACTTTATATTCCCTTTTGATTTATTTATTGTTCTCTTGACTAGATGGCTACAGCTCAAAAAATTACTTTTTTATAGGATAAGTTTTCAACATGGTGGATATTTTTCCTAAGATATTCAAGTTTTCTCGCATACCTTGCTTTTTTCCGGGAAAGTGAAGAATGCTTTTAATTCATTCAAGTACCAGTATTAGTTTTATTAACTTATTGGTCTTGGGGCTTTGGATGGTTCTAGACAGAATTACAATATATCTTAAAAATGGAAGTCCGGGCTGAATTTAAATCCTGGTCAGGAAGCTTTCATTTTTACTTCCTTGTACGAAGTATAGGAAGTATTGTAATCAGGAAGAACTCCGAGTATCATATTTCAGAGAAAATATCCATTTGACCGCTATCGAATGCAATATAACGATTTTTTGCGTGACATGTGTACGTAAGGACAAAATAAAGGAATCTTTTTCCCCTAACGGATCATAAAATGGATTCAGAAGAGATTTTTTTTCATGACTTGCGCACGTATATATATGTATCTCGCATAACTCAAAACCGAGTAGCCTCAGACCGTTGACATTTTGTATATAGGACTGCTATAACATGTAGTTCTGCACCACTCTTTTTGGTTGCAATCGGCCGCACCAATAGTGTATATATATATATATATTATATATACCCACTCTGGTACTCGGTGAGCTCAGTTTTATTTCATTCTGATATGCTGGTAAATTGCACATTTTTTGCTTTAAAATTAAGTTGTTCTTATCTTTCTGTTAAGGTTTTTATGCCTTTAGTTAATCTCCATGCAATAGTTACAGAATTATCAACAATTAAAAAAAAATTTTAAATGTGGCTAAGCCTACTTTTTTTTTTTTTTTTTTTTTACTTTTAACCATATTTTGTTTACATTTGACACTTAGCAGAACAGTTTCTGCACCTTTAGTGTCTTTTTGCCGAGTGGGAACAAAAGTAAACTTTTTTCATTTTGTGTACCTAAAAATCTGCCTTCTTGCCTGCTGGCCAAATTGCTTGCTTTTGCGTAGAAACTCTAATTTTAATTCCAAAAATTGTTTTTTTAATTGTTTTAACTGTATTAAGTGTTTTATGTTTTTCTATAGTTTTCAATTTTTGATGAAGATATTTTGAGGTTTTATGTATTTTTACCTTGCGAGCTGAATTACGTGAATAAGAAATCTATTTCTAATGAAATTGGAGGAAATACAGTGGCTCCCAAAAGTGTTCGTACACTTATGATTTTCATTGAAATAGGGCTCTATCCATTAATTAAAAGTAAATTTTCTGAATGAGATTTTAATAGATCTATAATCTAATCGTAACAAAATTACATGAAATATTTTAAAATATAGCGAAACTTTATTTTTAAGAAATTAATAATAAAAAAAATGACAAACACTTTATCTCACAAAAGTCTTCGTACACTTCAAAAAAAATCTTGACATATTAGTAAATCTTTTCATTTTTCGTTAAATTAATATTTAGTAGGATATCCTTTAGTATGCACAACAGCTTTTAAACGTATGGGAATAAATTTTACTAGTTTTTTTTTTTTTTTTTTTTTTTTTTTTTTTTTTTTAAATTTCTGTATCAATGTTCATCCATTCTTCCATCATGACTGTTTTGAGTTCGCTTTTCGTTTTGATGTCGTGTTTTCGTACTTTATCCTCCATTATTTTCCAAACGTGTTCTATAGGGTTTTAATCTGGTGACTGAGGTGGTGTTTTAAAAACCTGTGGACAATTCTAGAGACACCACAGGCGAACGTTGAGAGCCGTATGCTTAGGATCGTTATCATGATTAAAAATAAAGTTGTTTCAAATACCCAAATTTTGGGCTAATAATTTTAAATTATATCTTAAAATATTTAAATAAAGTGAATGATTCATTATGCCATCAATAAATACCAAATTACCTAGTTCTGATACTGCTATGCACCCCCTACACAAGAACACCTCCACCGCCATGATTAACTGTTCCAACTAAGTTCTTAGAATGAAGTTCCTCATTTTCTCTTCTCCATACAGTTATTCGACCATCGGAACCAAAAATGTTAAATTTGCTTTCTTCAGCAAATAGGACATTGTTCTAGTACGTTTCGGGTGTATTTATCATTGATTTTGCGAATGAAAGCCTAAGCTTTTTGTTTTTCTCACTAACACAAAATTTTTTACGTGCAGAACACCCATGTAATCCAACTTCTCTGAGAACTCGTCGAACAGTTTCAGATAAAATTGAAGTAGAAAACTTTGCATTAAATTCTTCAGAAACTTTTACAGCACTCAAACGTGGGTTTTTCACAAATTTTCTAATACTAAATCTCTCATTACGTTTAGCTAACTTTCTCGGTCGACCTCTTCTTACCTTGTTTTCAATCCGATTTACTTCTTTAAAGCGTTTTATCACATACAGCACTGTAGAATGGGATAAATTAAGTAATTTAGCGATATTTCGAATTGATTTACCACTACTATGGTGAAAAATTATCAATTTCCGAATGCTGTTTGTAATTTCTTTACGACTGCGACCCATTTTTCCAATAATAAATAGAATATTATTAAATAAACAATAAAAAATTAAAGCAAACGATTTTTAAATGTCACCACAATGCAAAAATTAAAAAAAGCGGCAAATGATAATTCTAATTTTGATTTTAACCAAAAATATTTCAGTGTACGAAGACTTTTGTGAGATAAAATATTTGCCATTCTTTGATTATTAATTTCTTAAAAATAAAGTTTCGCTATATTTAAAAATATTTCATGTAATTTTGTTACGAATAGATTATAGATCTTATTATTAAAATCTCATTCAGAAAGTTTACTTTTAATTAATGGATAGAGCTCTAATTAAATGAAAACCACAAGTGTTCGAACACTTTTGGGAGCCACTGTAAGTTTAAATGAAATGCAGAAAAAAAAATGAGTGTAATTTAATTTTCCCCGTAAGGAAGTCATGTGGTGTCCGAATCAGACTGTTTAAATATGATGCTATTACAATTTGCTTAACTCATGTTTAAATTAAAGTCAACACGTGAGGACTTTCAAATACTTTTTGAATCCCTAGTACCAGTTCTAGATCCAAATATGTTTACTACTTTAAGTGTTTCAATATCAGATTTCTTAGATACACTATTATTTTTGCTGATATTTCGCATTATTTGATGCTTCATAGTGAACAAAGTTTATCAAGAAAGTGTCTAACATAGTTTATTTAATATCATTAATTACGACATCTTCAGGCAACACGATGAGGTAGATAGAATGCTAAGTGCTAACATGTAGAAATCTTTCTTTAGCTTTTGCTCAAATACCAGATTTTCATCTAATATAACACAAGGGTCGTCTGCGTTAAACCTGATAAGGGATTTACTGTAAGTTTTTAATTTAAACATATTTTCCTACCACTGAAATTAAAGTTTCTAATCTTATTTCTGACGTTTTTTCCTCTAATTCAATATGGATCAATAAAACCTGATAAAACGTGTTCGAAATCGTGGATTTTAGATTTTTTAATAAATCACTAAATCTCTAATATGTGAAACTTCATCAATAATAATTGAAAATTTATCACTTGCTTATTTATTAAATTTTAAAAATTGTTCTGCGATGATTAGTCACTAAACAGATAACGGAGCGACAAGAAAGCGAACTTATTAAATATATTGGAAATAATAAAAATTAAGCAGTTGTGGAAAAATTAAGTGACGAAGGAGGAAGTCGTTCCTCAAATGTATAATAGAGATTCATCATTCCTCAAATAAGGAACGAAGTAGATTCAAACAAGAAACTTGGAATCAGGCTGGTGAAGGTTGAATACATTTTGCAAAATTTTCTGAAATAAATAAAAAACACAAAATCGGGGAAAATAAATATTAATATTTTACATGTTCTTTTTAGTCCAAAGGGATTTCAGTCCCGAAGGACTATTGCTTTCGTTTTGGCATTTTGCGTCGGACTCATAAACGTCGGTTCACTTTTCAAACTGTTGCCACAAAATGTTAGAGTCCTGCATTATATTTGAAGAAATTAAATAATGAAAAATCTGCATAAATGATTGTCTATTTCTCGCATTGTGATAAAACAATGGTACATAGAGCCATCGAATTTTGAATGAATTTGAAGGAATTTGAAATCCTACTGCGAATATGGGCATCTGAAATCCCAAATTTGGAATTTGTTTTATTATAGATTTTATATTTTGTAAAACTTTAACGAATTTTTGATTTACAAACTCAATGCTTTAAAAGCGAGAAATGGCAACGTTATGTAGAAAAAAAATACTTTTATCTCCAGCTCGCGAGACTGTGTATATCGGAAATTCTAAAGATATGCTTAATTTAACATTATTTGCGATATTGCTCTTGAACTGAATTTATGGTTAAGTGCAAAGAAATATTATATTTAATAAAAGGTAACACTCAAACGTTAAAAAAACGCCCCTTTGGACGTAATTTAAAATCTGAAAAATTTCAGATTTTTTTTTTTTTTAAATTCTTATTTTTTTTTTTTTTTTTTTTTCCCAAAATTCTGTAACATACATTTTCAATCCAAAGATTAAAATTATGCACATGTCGTATATATTTGTAATACTATTTCATGACACAGAAGAGAATATTTTAAACATTTACCACACGAAGGACACTAACAGGGTACGAGAAACCTCATTTAGTAGAACTGGTAAAAATTTGAACTAATTTGAATTCTTACATGGCGATAGTGAGCCAGGATTCAAAAATGAAGGATAAAGCCTCAGTTAAATAACTTCATGCTTTATATTTTTTTTCCATTTGATATTCAAATAAACACGTAATTTTAAAAGATGATTTACTTAATATACCTATGTTTCTATGTTATTTAGTTAAAAGTAGAGCTTGAAGGAGCAGAATTCGCTAAAAATGCATGGAAGAATGCTACATCATTTAACTGGAAAGACTTCCAAAACAAGAATGACACTATATATAGAATGTTTAAGAAACTCTCTGTACTTGGCTATAGTGCTCTGCCCGAAAATGACTTCAACGAAGTAAGTATTAGTACCTTTACTTTTCTTACATAATTATTGCTCAAATATTCATTTTTCTTTCATTTCATTTATTGATACAACATTCATTTTCTTTTTGAAAGTTAATCATAGAGGAGTCTGTTGTACTGTTATTCAGAGGAATTTATTTAACTCTGTTAATCATCTTAAAAAATCAAAGTTAATAACAGGTGATCTGAGGCCTTAAATTTTGCTAGGTTTTATGGAGTGTTCATACGAAGCCTCAGCGGTCACAACCTTAGGAAAGCTTGTTATGGCACAGAAAAATCACGATGGCATCACGAATGAGATGATAAAGAAATTTCCTATGAAAATCGTCTTCATCCTTTGTAAAATCTCCAATCCCATTCTACAGTTGCAATACTACCTTGAATCATGGAAGACTGAGAATATAACCCGGCAAACCATCTTTAAGCCTAGACTCCTACAGACCTATTAGTCTGCTATCATCTCTTAGCAAGATTTTTGAAGCTGCTCTGCTGAAGCGCATGAATGACCATATCGAACAGCACAATATTATTATTCCATGTCAGTTCGGATTCAGAAAGAAACTCGGCACCACCAATCAACTGTACAAAGTAGTAAAAATGATGTCAGAAGCTATGAAGAACCAAAAATTTACAGGAGGAATTTTCATCGATATAGCTAAGGCCTTCGACAGAGTTTGATTGGAGGGCCTCACTTACAAATTACACAGTCTGAGGGTTTAGACTACATCACAAACATCACCAAGTCCTACCTGACAGGTAGAAACTTTGTTGTTCACGTTTCAGGGACAAACTCTTCAAGCTATCCTATTAGGGCCGGGGTCCCGCAAGGGTACCTTTTAGGTCCTACTTATTTCAATATTTACGCAAATGACATCCCAAAAAATACACGACACAACATTAGCTATGTATGAAGACGACACAGCGATCCTCTCCCAAGGTGCATTTGCTGGTTCAGTCATACAACACCTTCAAAACTACATACATGCATTAGAGACTTGGCTCATCAAATGGAAAATCCAGGTCGAAATAAGCAAAACCCAAGTCATCATGTTCTCCAGAAAGCAGAAATTCAAAAGAAATCTTCACTTTTATGGATGTTCTATTCCCTGGGCCAAGCAAGTCCCTTACCTTGGGGTGATCCTCAGTAAGACATTTTCACGGAACCCACACATTACAGCTAGTATACAGAAGTTTCGAGCCCGTAAAGCTAGACTTCCCTTAATTGCTCGACACGGTGTTTTATCCATAGATAATAAATTACTCATTTATCAATTTATTGAGCCCATTGTTATGTTATGCATGCCCTGTATGGGCATATGCTTGTAACAAATACAGAGGCAAACTTCAAGTTGCTCAAAATGCAATTTTAAGGCAAATTATCACTGCCCCTGGTATATAAGAAATAATCGTATTCATGAGGAATTAGATATAAGAGTTTTAAGGTCTTTTTATTACAAAATCGACAAGAAATTTCACGCCAATCAACTTTCTCTGAGCAACCCTGCCGTAAAAATTGCTGATTACGATTTTAATGACCTTAGTAAATATGGACAGGTCTCTAGCTATTTTAAATAATGGATTATATAATTATTGTTATATGCTTACTGTACCTTTTATCCTTATATTTCTACATAGTAATATCTGTACCATATGTTTTATTATGTAAAGTATCTGTGTATGTCATGTGTAACTTGTCTAGTTAAATTATACTTTCTTTGAATATTCTCGCTGGTCGCACTCCTTGTTATTGTAATTTTTGCATTCTGTCGCATTTACTGGTACCATCATTCTCACACTTGAGATGTCATAACTCGTACCTTTCAGAAATCAATCACCAGCTCGATTACTTTCTGGCCTACAGATATAGATGCGAATTTAAAAAAAAATTAATTATCCTGTATTTCATTCTTATATCTCAGTCTTGGCTAACCTTAATGTGATTCGAAACGTCTTAATATGTTCTACAAGAGGTAGGGCTTTTGCCCAGGTACCCTGGTGTTCAGACACCGTTCTATTGGATCAAAAAAGATATAAGAATTTGGTTTAAACAATTTAATTTTTGCCTTTAAGGCAAGATGGCATAAGAATCGACCAATCATAGCGAAGCTAACACGGACTGACATGATTTCGCAGTGCCCCTTGCCCATTCATATACCGATAGATTTACCTTGTTCCCTGGTTGGCTACGGCTTAAACTCTGTTCTACTTGGGTAAACGAAGCTAAGGACTTTTCCACCCTATGACGGTAACAACTGTGATATTTAGACCATTGTGTGAATACTCCTTTACATACAAAATAAACTTAACATACAAAGTTAACTTGCATAAGCTATTTTGCAGAAAATTATATTTAATTTTTTAAAATTTAAATAATTCGAAATTAAATACACATGTATTAACAGAAATAAGATACCATATATTCCGGCGTAAAACGCGCACTTTGAATACAAAAAATAAGATCGAAGTTTGCGGGTGCGCTTTGTACGCCGGGTGAAAAAATGATAGATTTAAAAATAAGGAACGAGGATAAAAAATTAGATTTCTATATGCACCTCAATGCTGTTTATGTAAAAGAAATGACATACCTTATGAACTTAAAAAAAATATTATCGGAGAACATGAATAGTTCATCATATTCATCTTCTGTTATATCTTCAAGCACATCAGCGAATTCTCTTTCATCTTCACAATTACTGTTACTCTGATTCGTTAATAGAATAATTATCTTCCGTTCCGTCTAGATTATTAGATATTCTGCTCTTTTTAAATTACTTTTGAATTATGGCGAATTAACACTCATGTCCATAAATTAAGAATAATGCAAAATCAGGCAAAAGAAGAGTTAGAAACAAAACAAATTTGACTTATTTGTAAAGCTTATTTATTAAACAAAAGGTAAAGAGCAAAAAAGATGCTAATGGTTGATTTTATTAAAACAATTAGCGATTTTTTTTCTCCCTGGAGCAAATTAAACAAAAAAAAAAAAAAACTATTTACAAAAACCAATATACATGGTTGGTATGATTTTTAATACATTGTAGTATGTATTCCAGACGATGCAATACAGTCCGTACAACGCCTAGGCATGCTGAGTATCAAATTATCTATCTGATCTGGGATAGTGACCCACTCAAAAAGCAATGCTCTCCGAGTTCCGGTAGACATGTAGGAGGAGTTGATGGCTGCAACTCGTCGGCCCAGCATGTCCCACAGTGCTCTACTGGATTCAGTCCGGTGAGAATTGCCACCAGTCCATACGCTGATATCCACCGATTGAAGGCATTCGCTTACGATGTTTGCACGGTGGGTGAGGACGGGCGTTGTCATTCATAAACACAAATTCAGCGCCCATGGCGCCCCGAAACAAACGTACATGTTGTTCCAGAATGACGACACGATAGATTTGGCTTTTCATGGTTCCAATTTGAATATGCAGGTCAGTTCTGAAACCCAGAATAATTCCACCCCAAACCAGCACTCCTGCACCACCGTAACGGTGTCGTTCAATGATGTTTTCTTGGTGGTAACGGGTACCTGGAGCTCTCCGTATGAAAGTCCGGAGCTCTATGAAATTCCGGCGAGAATCAGACTGCATGCTAAACCTGGACTCGTCGGAAAACATCACACAAGCCCACTGTTGCTGTGTCCACTATGCATGCTCTCTACTCCAGGCTAACCGCAGGCGACAGTGAGTTACAGTAAGTGGAACGCATCTGACAGGTCTACAAGCATATAGACCAATATGCCCTAAGCGTCTTACACGGTCTGCCTTGAAATTGTCGTCAGTGGCTGAAGAGAGCTGACGAGACAGGTCTAGCGGTGCTCCGCCTGTTTCTTTTGGCAGTAACTGCCAAATACCGGTCCTCATCGCGTTGTAACTCTGCGGCGACCTGTGCTGTAACGTAACTCACATTACCATCATCTTGGAATCGTTGCCAAGCCTGGAGATGACATTTGAGCAATTCAATTCGTCCTGATACTTCCAGTTGGGTGGGCGGCCCACATTCCAGACGGCCGATTTCTACCACGTAAAAATCATCCAATGCGTCCTTTGTGTCATAACTATTCGGTTATTGCACTGAAATGCTTATAAGCGTCTGCGACAATTTTAACTTCTTTGGCCTTAGTCTATATATCACCTCTTAACGCTCTTCGACGTACCATCGGTGTCATCTGGTACTACTTCGACTGAAATTTTGCATATGATCTTGAAGATGGTGTAGTGATTTACAGGTGATATATTTATTTTAGAGTTCGATTTCCGCGTGACTCCGAATTATCCTTAATTTATGGACATGAGTGTAATTTCATTCCATGCTTTTATTATTCACTCACACACTATTTCTAAACTGGCATGACGCATTTGGCCTCCTTTTGTAAATATTTTTCCACCTTATAAATATTCTTTGATTGTTTTATATCACATATCTGAAGTCTGAACTAATGACATTAATCCACCTGAAATAATTGCCACGTCTATATTACAGGCTTTCAATAATTTCTTCGTGTTCTCCGCTAGATGAGATCTGAATATGCCCCACAATAAAAGACTTTTTGGATTCTTTAAGGGAGAAGGACGCTTTTGCAAAACATTCTTTATCCGCAATTTCAAACCGTTTTCATCCATCCATCCTTTCTCGTTAACATGTTCCATTTGTAAAATTACATTTTGGCATCGTCGTTCTTTTAAAAATAACCATTGGTTTTTAAATTTGAACCGTCCTCTAAGCAAGAAAGCACTACGGAGGAGTAAGATCTTTCGTGACATGCAATTTTTATGTGAACCATATTTGTTCTTTTCCCATTAATGGTTTTATTTCCTGTCATATCAAACATTCCTGGAGTTTCATCCATCTTTCCAACATGTGAGAGTAAATATTTTTTTTTTTTTGCCTTCTTAGGTCAATAACATACTTCTGAAAGCTAACCAATTTGCTATCCAATCGGAAGCCTTTGCGTTCTTTCTCGTAAGCTAAATTATTCCGTGCCATAAATCTACTACACCAACTCAAAGTTGCTTTGAAGTTTTCACTTTCATTTGCATTCTTTTTGGCCCACTTAAAGGCAAATAAACGTATAAGTGTTTTATTATAATTAATCCATTCTGGCGCTTTTCTATGACCCAGTTCATAACACTTTCTTCTAGGAAAGGCCATTTGGTTACTCTATAAGGCCATTTAATTACTCCCGCTTTCCTAGCGTGCCTTCGAGGTGCAGTAGTTCTGCACGCTGGGCCGGTATCCAGAGGTCCATGGTTCGATTCCCGGCGAATGCGTTGTTAGTTTTTCATCTCTCCTGCTTCCAAATAAATCCTAATGTTCCTACAACTCTTTTATGCAAAGCACATTTATTCTTTGGCATATTAACTATTGTGATTGCTTTTCCTTCCACTCACGTACACAGCTTTCACCAACACCAAACATCCTTGCAGCAGCACCATTTCCATTTTCTTTCGCAAAATGAATGGCTTTGCATTTGAAACCAGCACTGGATTTGTTTCTTTTCGTGGGAGCAATATTAAAGCCTTCAAATTTCACTTCAAAATCACGGCTTCAAATAACTGCAGAAACAGAAAACCTCTAACTCCTAATTCCATGAATTCACTAAGTTTGAAAGTGAATTCTTACTCCAAATTATACCCCCCCCCCTTTTTCGAAACTTCGGAATGCCTTCTTTTGGACAGCTGCATTGAATGCAATTCACCCTTTTCGCAGGCATATTTACTCCCTTAAGAATTTAACCCACACAAATATTGTTCCTCTTATCGCTTATCAGTTCGGAATACCATTGTTCGAAAGGCTAGGATAAATTTTAGAATAAATGACCTTAAAAGATAAGAGCATTGCACATGTATCTTTCAGGTTTCTTGGTGAAGAATTGGGCGAGCATTATACGGTGAACATACCTAAAAAATGTAGCTTGAAATTCTAGATGGGCGTTATACACTGGTGCACGTTATACGTCGGAAGATACGGTATTTTACTTTAAGATTTGCTAGAGTAGGAATTTTTAAAAAAAAAAAAACAGGAAGAATAAACAAACTCAACTTGCTTTTTATAATTTACTTATCAGAGTAAGAAACAAATAAAATAAAATGTGCACTTTATATTAAAGCAAGTAATCTTAGCAGTACCCCTATGTGTTATGCTTTTGAGATAAACGCTGGCCTGAACCGTTTGGCTTGGAAAAAGTGCAGCTGACTCAGTAAATTCAGAAAAAAAAAAGATATCAATTAAAATTCTATAAATAATCGAGAAAAAATATTAAATTTGAAGATTTTTCTTGTCAATGGTAAAGTTTCCAGTAACAGTGAAATTTCGGGAAGTTGCAAAAACAGAGCTGAAACCCCAAATACGCATAGGTAATCATGAAAAAACTTTTCCTATATATGAACCCCTAACGGCCTATCTGCTAAACCAATCGAAATAAAATTTCAAATGTTATTATTCCAAGGCATGCGCTCGAGATTATTATGATTCAAAACGGCACTCTCACGGATACGGTTACACTGAAAAATTTCGAAATTTTAGAATAGCAACATCCACTTTGTTCTTGCGCAAATAATTAAGTACATTGAAAAACTATAAATTTCATTTTAACGATACACGTATGACGAAAACTGCCGGTGCAAACATTTCCAAAGAAGAAAATTATAAAGACACGAGTGTGTATGTGTCACACAATGAAAAACACAAAAGAAGAGAGAGAAAAAAACTTTTATTGGAATTAAGTATTCACTTTCCTAGATGATAAGGCATTGCAATCGGGAGATTGTTGACAGCTATGACAATGTAACATCTCGAAAAGAACCTGTATAACATTACGTCTAATGACATCGTTCAAATCTGGCATATATCGTGGATTTGATGTGTGCACCTTAGATTTCAGATAATTCCCGAACAAAAATTCATCGCAATGACATCGGGAGTTCACAGGGACCACTAAACTGCAAAGTTATGGACGATGAATTATCTCCAAAGTGCTATTGCACAATTGCCGAACACATATGGCGACATGTGGAGGAGCACCATCTTCTTGGAAGAAGCACGGACAAAGAACGAATGTGCTTGCGATACCGCACCCCACGTCACTTTAGCTTCGTGTAAAGGCACTGATGCCACGTCGTGAGGATTTTTGCCAGCCCAGTGACGGCAGTTCTTAGAGTTTGCGTTCCCATTAAAGGAGAAATGTGCCGCGAGCGTCCATAATATTCGCCAGCCGCCATATCTTTATCATATCTGATGATGAATGATGATCATCTGTTCTTTGCAAAGGTTTTACACCGCAGTTTTCGTCGTACGTGTATCGTTTCAACGCCATCGTTTTTCAGTGCGTTGATAAATTTGCGCAGGAAAACACTTGGCGTTTCCATTCAAAAATTTTGAAATTTCGTTTATTATTTTATATTTTTATTACTGTTCCACAAAAACTGTAACTGTGAGAGCTCTATAGTTTTAAATCATCACAATCTCAAGCGCATACTATCAAATAACAATATCTGGAATTTCATTACGATTAGTTAAGCGGAGAAGCATTTAGGCTCATATATCGGGGAAGATCTTTTATAAATACTGTGTGCACATATTTTCAACAGCGAATTTACATCGATTTTGCAGCTAAGTACTTCCTCTTTACAGGGACCAAGCACTTTCCTACAAAAGTGCCTATTTTCAGAACATCACTAGATTCGTGTCGCATTTTTCAAATGTATTAACGATCATCACTGTTATCAAACCTTATTTAGAAAAAGACATATATCTTGTTAAATCAACTGCAGCAAAATTGAGAAGAAACAGTAAGTAAATTGCTAATAAGAGCTAATAGACAACAAATTTATGAAACTCATACATCAATAAATACATGCAAGTTAAAGTTCTGCATATATCTATTCGTTTATTATATTATATTTTCGATTCTAAAATCAATTATTTGGGGTTCAGAAAATAGTGAAGTTCTCAAAAACACCTAGCAGCGCTTTATTACTAAACATAATTATAATTTGCATATTTTTATTTGTTTATGTGTTATGATTTTAGGAGCTGATTTTTATCAGTAATTTAGATGAGCAGATTCTCATACATGTTATTCAAAATCACTGACAGCTCAAGGCTTGCAGATCTCCACTATTAACATGAATTATCTTGTCGAATTTTGTGTTTTTAAATTATAGTGGATTTTCAGCAATTCTGTATGTTTAAGTTCATTAGTCGTGTTTCATTGCATAAACCAGTTTAACAAAGCGTATATGTAACTAACTACCCAAAACAAATTATTTTGATTTGCAGATTTTTATTTTGAAATCATTTGTAATTTTTTTTTTAAATTTTTAAAAGTGGATTCTGTCATATTTAGCATTCATTAAGAAACATTTGTTTAGTTAATTCATTAAGAAAAATAGAATTGTTTATTCAATTTCATTAAGAAACATTAGCATTTTGTTTCCGACAATGGCAGATTTAAAACCTTATCTTCAAGTTCCGTGACAGTATTTAGCTTGCAGAGATAGTTTGTAAATAAACTAAATATTTTATTCGAAACACTTTGCATTAATAGTTATATTGTAGAGACTCACTTTCTTTGATAGCATGAACTAGTAAGCTCCAGAAAACCTACAGGGAAATAATCTTTTAGTCTTAAGCTATAGACAGACAAAGTCAGACGAAGGGTGTAAGTAGCTCTTTTATTTTAACACAAAGAAATAACAATGACTCATCTTGGTTTCACACAAGCCAACACTTCAGGCTTAATATAAATATGTAATGTTGAACTAATTCAAATGTACTAGATTAGCCTAACGGCTGATAGGATAATTTAAACACGTAGGAAAGAAAGGCTGTGGCTTGTATAAAACCGGGTAGACAAGCTAAATGGCTAGAAGCACTCAACGCCACAGAATTAAATCGCTAATAATCACGGTACAACATGGCTAGAAATAGCCAAAACATGCTCTAAAATTAACTTGCGTAACCTTCCCTTAAATAGTACTTCTTTCTCCGGCAATGTGAATAAACGCTCGCTTTAGATACTGGCATGAAAAGCGTATGTGAAAAGAGGGCGACAGGAAAGCGCTAAAAATTAACTATTAGTTAAAATAAATACATAAAACATCATAATATATAAATCAAAATTGCTTTGCCTGGCGGAAGAGTAGTGATATTTTATGTAAATATTAAAATGCATTTAGTCAGTTTAATTACAAATTACAGGCTTATTTTTAATTAACAGGAATTGCAGGGCTTGGTGTTTGGTTTATCATTTCCATTAAATAAAGCGATTAAATATAAAAATTAATTAAACATAAAAATCCGTTAAACAAACGAATGGTTCTTCTCATGTTCATGTCTTTGTATTCATAGCAAACCCGGCGGGTTTTGGTATTTTGTAGTATTTATAGATTTATTTCCTTTTGCCCTAACTTGGAATTTAAAACTGCTTATAGTTGTGCTGTGGCTTCCCGATGAAATTTTTAGAAAAATTTCCCATATTGGGAGGTATTTAATATATGTAGTTTTCTCAATACTAATCTCGTATCCTACAATCGGATAAATTAAGATTTCATATTTAATTATTCTAAAGTTTTGTTTGTTAAAAAAAAGAACAAAGAAGAGAAAAGAAAAAAATTCTTACTCATTTTCTGTTTCTATTTTTAGCTCAATGAGATTATGGCTGACATGGAAAGTACTTACAGCGAAGCGAAAATTTGTGGCTATAAATCCTCGTCGGAAACATCTTGCAATTTATCTTTGGAGCCAGGTAACCATTATTTATATATAATATAAAGTTAACCTATAATATACAGTGCATCATATGTACGTATCATATACAGTGCATCATGTACGTATAATACACAGTGAAACCTCTTATATTATTAGACAGTGAACAGTGAATACAAAGTGAAACCTCGCTTACCTCACTTTTATAAAATGCTCGTCTCTGAAAGTAGCCTGTATTTCTTACAAAATTAAATAACTGTAACGAATATCACATAATTGTTACTTAAAAAAACTATTTTAAGAAATCGGCAAAGTTGTCTAAAGCCATGAATGGTTGTCTCAAAGAGGTTCCACTGTGTATCAGAAGAACATAGTGTGGGTTCTAATGCATAATGAATTGAGAAAAATAGCGAGTAAAACACAAGGAAACCAAAATTGAAAAAACAAGAAAAGTTGAAATGTGCATTGTGGATTATGTAAAATGATCATAAAATTTCATTCATTTAAGCAAGTTAGTTCATAAATAAAAACTGCGCAAATCACATCTTTGAAATAATATTCTGTCATCTTCGACGAGAATGCGTGAAGTCATAATACGAGCGCTAGGACAGCATCTCCTGAGACGGTACAAATCTCCATCGACGACGATACCGATGGAAGTACTGTAATCACACCATGTACACTGCTCAACAAAAAAAAAAAAAAAAAAAAAAAATGGGACAGTGCTATATCTCCCGTTCTATTGGGCCGATTGACAAAATTCAAACTGCGTTTTTTCATGTCTCGGAAAGCGCGACTTAGGATATATATTAGATTTATGCATATCAGTACTATTCTAACATAGGTATTTTGACACAAAACTCCGGACTTTTTCTGAAATGACATACCGATTTTGTTTTCCATATTTCGATTCTTACGACTCAAATTATGCCAGAATACCAAGTTTTGTAAAAATCGTACGAATAGTTTTTAAAATATTAGCGCTCTCAAAATTTTAGCTCCTCAATGTTAATTGAATTTGGCAAATATTTATTAATATCTCTTTTTTTTATTAAACTTTTTTGATTTTTTCTCTCCATATTTCGAAATTTTTGGTTCATTCCAAATAAAATTTACCCATTTTTTGCGTTTTATTTTTTAATTTTTATTTTTAAATAATTTCTATAGATTTTTCGAAAAAAATTTTGAATTATAACCTATAAATTTTTACCATCATCTTAAAGTAGGTGTATTTTTAAGCATATCTGCAAAAAAATAGACTTTTTTACTCAAAATTTTCTAAGATATACACGAATTTACATAATTTCCGCGTTTTGAAATTTGGCATCTTTTTTTGAGCGATAATAACGCCAAATGTGGTCTATGGATTTTTGTTACACTGAATTGCCACAGCTATTTTTAACCTTAAACTTCAAGTAAATTTTACGGAGAATTAATTATATGACTTTTTTTCCCTCAATGATGCGTAATAAATATTTATTAATACTATATGAAAAGCTATTTTTTAAATTATAGATGATATTATTCAAATTTTTAACTATTTTTTTTTAAATTTCTCTCGTAACTTTCTTTTTTTAAAAAATTTAAGAGTAAGTTTTGTAAGAGTAAATTTTTACCTTCGGCGTTTTATCGTCTGCTACTTTACTTCGTTTAAATCGAATTGTCTAAAACTGAGAATTTTCGTTTGATATTTATTTGAATTTTGAAAAATTTTATGACATTAAACTGCATAATTTATTTCTAAACAACTGTTGCTTTTGAAGTGGCTGAAAGGGAGGCTGATACTATTATCCATATTTTTAAAGCACAATATATTTTTATAGAAACATAAGATTTAGAATAATCATTTTTTATAAAAGTCAAATTATGATATAAACATACAACCCTCTAGAGACTGAATTAATGGAAGTTCAATGGTTATGTAGAAATGATTCTGGCAGCTACTTAATGGCTGGATAAGTCAGCAGATTCTGTGGACAAGTAAGAATAATTATATAACGACATCAACATTCTGGATTCAATTAAACAACGAGGATACGATGTTTACTTAAATGAATTTAAGAAGTTTAAAAAAAACATAAAAAAATCAATTCATTTTTTATCCTAAAATGTCTATTTTTTGTGCGTAGCGTATTTTCATTATATCCTTAAAATTCTAATTTAGAATGTAATTGTCAAGAACTGAATCCTAATCATCATTAATATAATAAGTAATTATTACTGTTATTAATAAATCCTTCTTATAAAGTAATTGCAAATATTTCAGAAAACTTTCTGTCTGAATGCAAACATTTTTCTATGCAAATATTTTTAATTTTATATTAATCAAGATTGCACACCGATATTATTTATTTCCACTTCAATTCTTACCGTCAGTTCTAGTAGAATTTACAAATCAATTATATTTAATTAAGGATTGATTGGATTATTTAATTATGGTAAGCACACGAGGGCTATCTGCCTAAAGGGAGGGATGCCTTCGTGGAGGACTTTCTTAAGGGAAACTGGCTCGTATACACGTTACACATGGGGAAAACCACGAAAACCGCCCATGGGGCCAGCCCGTTCGCGGGATTCGAACCTCGAACCGAACTACCAGTGTTCAGCGTCTTTAACCGCTCGGCTGTTGGTGGGCTATTTAATTAAGAATGACCATCTAAAGTTAAGAAACACGTACCGTAACAACATTTCATTATTGGCGCCGTATCTTTCATGTTACTCCCGATTGGCTAGCTACATGATTTTTAATGAGTATTCGGATTTTACAAGTAACTTCACTTGGAAATCGCGCTTAAACTAGGTTAGTTGGTTATTTGAACATAGAAAGAACATGGGAGCTATTTGATTAAGATGCTTTCATAGAGAATCTTTGTAAAGAGAACCTAAAAAACTACGAAAAACCAACATGCAGCCTGGGGTTAGACTAGCAGCAAACAATTAGTATTTAACAATTTTTTCTTTTTCAAATGCTAGGCAACTGATGAGGCTCCAATTAAATCTCCAATTTAATATTTGATTTGTAAATATTTAAAATATTGTTGTACTCTTTGAAACATAAAGCAGAATTTAAGTTTTGTTAACTCGTTAGTAAACTACCAAGCCGTAGTGCAAATGAATATTCAATTTCTTTGGCAATAATTGTATTCACTTAATATTCTTGGAATATGAGCTAAAGAAGGAACGTTCTCGGAAGATTGAAGAAGTGTTTAAATCCAGTGATATTAGGTTTTGTCTTACAAGCTCAGGATCAAAACGATTCTGCAATTGCCCGAGTAGTTGACTTGTAAATGGATGTGAATTAAGCAGATGACTTTTTTAATCTTACGTTTTCAGTCAGAAAACGTATTCCAAATGTTTTGTATTGCATGACAATGCATGTTTTCATTATTCAATAACCAGTCGGAGAACCGCTTGCGTTCCGAAAATAAGTATGTGTATTCAATCGTCCTGCATGTTCTTCAAATTTGTCTTCTTGTGATTTTTTTTCTTTACCAAAAACTAAAGTTGCCTCTCAAAGGAAAGTTTCTTTTGACATTGAAGAGACAAATTAGGAGTATGAAATCTACCTTTAGAGGCATGTCAAAAACAGATCTCTACAACCTTTCTCTTCCATTACATGTTGTGCAGTCAGAAAAAAGTTGCATCAGCCGTAAATTCTATAATCTATTTTTATTACAACTCTGATTACTTTATTAACATACAGTGAATATGTATTAAATCTTTAACTTTAGCTTAAGTAATTCGGAAATTTTTGACGGAATTGTGTTGTCGGAACTAGGACTTAGAAGAAAAGTCAAATTAAATATTTCGATAACCCAAGTAAATTCAAGTCGAAATTTTTTTCAATATTTTATTTTCGGAGGGAGGGGAAATGTTTTCAGTTTTGGTCCATTATAACTAAGTATATTTGCTTCGATTTTTTATTTTCCATAAAAGCGAAAATTTACGCATGGTATACATATAACGCATAGCTTCAAATTAAAATTTAATAATATACAGAGTGGTTATAATTAAAGTTCCACATTGAAACGGTCATAAAAGGAAAACTACTGGATCAAATGTTATCAAACTTGGAAATCGTGTAAAGGAGGTCATGGGAATTTATTTTCGCGAAAAAAAGGAAGTTCGAAACCTCACCACCAGGGGGGGAAATGGCGCTGTATGCAATATTGTTAAACGAAATATGGGTCGGAATCTAACTTAACCTTTTGTTAAACGGGTTTAATAATGTTGTATACCCTTAAGAAACTTTGAAGTAGCAAATTACCATTTAAAGACGTTAAATTCGATAAATGTCGAGTGCGCCAGCCCTGTAAGTGAGAATTTCGTCCGTGGAAAACCACGAATTAGCGATTAGAAATGTGAGAATCGCAAATCACTCTCACAAGTGCGTACAATCTGGAAATCGTTTTCTTACAGATCGCTAATTTGTAATTTTTTAAGCCTGAATTCGGCACTAAAACATGAAGATACTGATTCAAAAACGCTTTTAATCGATTTGGGCCAAAGAAATCCCTCATGTTATCCACCTAGTTCCATTGCATTCTCCTACTGCATTCGATTGCATAACAGTCATTCCACACCGTTTCTGGTGTGGAATGACAGCTAGTTTTCATAAATGAACCATTTTTCTTTGAAGAGAAGTCGACAGCTGGACCACTGTGCTTGCAGCTCACTTAGGGTCAATGTTAAAATATTTCGTGATACATGAACAGCAGTAACGTGGCATTTTAGATACTAGGATTTTTTGCAGGGCTGGGCCCCACCTCACATGTGTCGCACAGTTACTTAAGCAACATTTCACGAATGAACGTCTTATAGGCCAACACTTCTTCCCTCTTCTTCCCACCAGACCTCAACCTCTGTGACTTTTGTCTATGAGGTTATCTCAAAAGCACTGTTTATGGTGATAATCTAAACAATTTGGCAGAATGAAAAATGTGATACACTGATAACATTCCTCCTGATATGCTATGTGTAACGTGTATACGAGCCAGTTTCCCTTAAAAAGTCCTCCACGAAGGCATCCCTCCCTTAAGGCGATAGCTCTCGAGTGCTTTGCCGTAATCTAATAAACCAAACCAAAACCAAACCTGATATGCTAAGAGCTGCTGTTGAGAATGCAGTAACATGATTTAACTTGCTTTCGGAAAATGCTGGACGCTACATTGAACATGCTTTGTAACACGTTTCGGAAAATATTAAACACATTTTAAACAGATGTTTTCGTGTCTTATTTCATTTAACAATATTGTATACAGCGCCATTTTTCCCCTGATGGTGAGTTTTTGAACTCTTTTTTTTTTTTTTTTTTTTTCCGCCGAAAATAAATTCTCATAACCTCCTTTACACGATTCCCAAGTTTGATAACATTTGGTCCGGTAGTTTTCCTTTTATGACCATTTCAAAGTGGAACTTTAAATAATAACCACCATGTAAAATAAGCTTTAAAGTCTGACAGTTTGGTTCAAGTCCCACTTTTAAAAAATATATATATAAATATAATTTTTATATTAATTTCTCTAGAAAGCATGTTTTAAGAAGCTAATTTTTCTCTCGCGTTATAGATTGTATAAAAAAAAAGATCTTATTTAATATGATTTAGATTGTTTCAGCCGATATAAGAATCGGGTTACTCTGTGGTACAGAATAACCCTGCTGGACTGTTTTATTTCTTTGTCATTTAGCAAAAATCTTTTAATTAAAATATTTATCCTTTGGACTTCGCTTTAAACTTTATTATAGCTAAAATGACTAGAAAATGAAAAGCTGTCTTTAGCTGAAACGCAATTCATATAATTGATATTTTAAAAAATTGACAAGAATGCAAAATTTATGGAAGTCTAGCAGTCGAAAAAATCTTAAATTTTCTTGTGTGAGCACTGAAAATAACTGTAGAAGGAAAGAAGAAAATTAGGGAGAAAAGTAAGCAAAAATTTGCAGGGAAATTGGCTGTCAGACTACCAAGATGTTCAAAAAGTTGGACGCTTTCGAATATACTTTCAGGATACTTCAAAGAATTTAGGTGTTCAAAGAGAAAAACACTTGGACGAGTACACCAGCAATACCATCAATTGAGCTTGTGTTAACAGAAAAGACAAAACGATATATCATTGCAGATTAAAGTGAAGAGCGACTGGTTTTTAACTATATGGTTGTGTAAATTACGTTATAGAACATCATATCGTATCATAAATGGTGAATCCCATGATTTCCTCAGTCGAATTATTTGAAGATTCAGGAGTTTTATCCAGTGATGTATGTGGATGTCACTTAAAGATGTTTTTTTTTCCCTTCCTGATGAAACAGCGGCCGAAGCGGTAAAAAGTCGCTGAACACTGGCAGTTCCGGTCCGAGGTTCGAATCCCGCGAACGGGCTGGCTGCATGGGCGTTTTCGTGGTTTTCCCCATGTGTAACGTGTATGCGAGCCAGTTTCCTTAGAAAGTCCTCCAAGAAGGCATCCCTCCCCTTAGGCAGATAGCCGTAGTGTGCTTTGTCATAATAAAATAAACCAAAACCTTTTGATGAAACCAGTCTTTTTTCTTTCATCTCATACCTTCAAAATGTTTAGCCTCTAAAGACTGATAAAGGCTCTGACGAAATACTTCGTGAAGAACTTTCTAAGGGAAACCAGCTGTCATACGCGGTACACATGAGAAAATCCACGAAAACGCCCATGCAACCAGCCCGTTTACCGGGTTCGAACCCCGGAGTGAACTACCAGTGTTCAGCAACTTTACCGCTCGGCCGTTTGTGGGCCTTTATGAAATGGAAGGCGATAACTTTATTTAAAATGATTGTCAGAAATACAAAATGTTTCGAAAAGTTGGATACTTTTCAATATACTTTCAGAATGCGTAAAGAAACAGAGAAGAAAAATAATTTTTTTCGTAAAATTTAGTATTCGTATTTTTTTAAATTTAAAACTTTTCAATCTTATGATATTTGATTCTTGCGATTTCAAAAATAAAATATTTGACTAAAATATGAATAACATTTTAAGAAACCAAATGTAGGATAAAATTGTGTAAAGCAATGGGCACAATGATAAAACTGTTTAAAGCAGTGTATGCAAGTCATCCTAAGTTAAAATATCGGTTATACATCTCTCTTATTTATATATATTTTTTCTGAACGGAACATTGAAAGGCGTGTAAAACTGTGCTTTACTATATTCATATACTTTTTTTCCTAAGGAAACTAGGTTGCTATATATTAAGAAGTTCGCCAAGTGAAGTATTCTTGGCGCAAACTGACAAAAAAGTGCCAACATAAATTTGTGGATTTCTCCGTAAATTTCGCTCCAAATTTTACAAAATTTCATATTTAGGCGTAATTTGAGTCGTAGAATCGAAATATGTTAAAACAATTGGTATGTTTATTTCAGAAAAAGTCCGATTTTGTGTCAAAATACCTATGTTAGAATAGTGCTATATATAATCTATATATATCCTAAGTCGCGCTTTCGAGACATGAAGAACGCAATTTGAATTTTGTCAATCGGCCCAGTAGATCTGGAGATATAGGACTGTCCCATTTTTCTCTTTTAATATAGTATGCAGTTTTCAAACGCATCGTAGTCTGGGTTACAAAGTATTCTTCCGAAAAAAAACGCAGTTCAAATAAATAAAATCAAATTCTGGAAAATTGATATTAATAAATATATTTAAAATGCTCAGTTCGAAGGAATAAATAGAAAATTTTAAAACAATTATCTGAAGAGACAATGCAACACAAACAATTAAAATAAAAGTAAAATAAAAATAAAATTTAAAATTGACCTAAAATAATAACTATGACAAAAATATATATAAAGAAAACTATTTGAAAAAAAAAATAAACGCTGCACCTTTATTTACGCAGTTCGAATAGGTAAATAGAAATTTTTAAAACAGTTATTCGAAAAAAAAAAAAAAAAAAAAAAAAAAAAAAACATGCAACTTAAACAATTAAAATGAAATTCGAAAAGAAAAAAATTACTTAAAATAATAAGTTATAATTAAAAATATAATATAAAGAATATTATTTGGAAAAAAGGAACGATGGTGACTTTTTTTCCTGAAAGGAAACTAGGTTGCCATACATTAAGAAGTTCGCCAAGTGAAGTATTCTTGGCGCAAACTGACAAAAAAGTGCCAACATAAATTTGTGAATTTCTCCGTAAATTTCGCTCCAAATTTTACAAAATTTCATATTTAGGCGTAATTTGAGTCGTAGAATCGAAATATGTAAAAAAATTGGTATGTTATTTCAGAAAAAGTCCGATTTTGTGTCAAAATACCTATGTTAGAATAGTGCTATATATAAATCTAATATATATCCTAAGTCGCGCTTTCGAGACATGAAGAACGCAATTTGAATTTTGTCAATCGGCCCAGTAGATCGGGAGATATAGGACTGTCCTTTTTTTTTTTTTTTTTTGGAGCAGTGTACATCAGATTAGTTTCTGTGTGATTATGAGCTCTTCGCCAAAATGAAAGAACGATTGTGAGTTACACTTTACAACAGTAGAATAATTCCATTACTGTTTAAGGTCAGTCGCTGTGAAGCAGCAATAATAATGGACGATTGATGATGTACGACGCCTTCAAATAACTTAAAAGAAGGTTGCAAGTGCAGCCGGATACATTCAAGGACTATGAGACTTTATACGTATGATGATAAAAATTTCTTCAAAACTGCTGACACGTTACGACTACTTTTATGGTACACATGTGGCGTCATTAACGTAATTTAAATGGAAAAAATAGGACACACTTAGAGCTCTCTCTCTCTCTCTCTCTAAACAGCACACTCTTAGTCTTTCTCTTTCTCTCTCTAATAACAAAAGCATGAGCAAAAACAAATTCTACAGTAATAGTTTGGTGGCATTCTAAAGTCTTGAATACGTTGTTAATGGATACAGAATTGGAGTCAGGCATTCTGAAAAACTCTATATAACGGAACTTCGTTCACGCAGCTAACATGTACAAGTTTTTTTTCATTGAAAATAATAAAGATTTTTTCTTTCTAAAGCGACATTTAGAGCTCTTTTACACAACTGAAGCGGAAAATAACGAAAACTTACTTTTGGTTATTGTTATGTGTTACTAATGAAAAGAAGTTTTAAGCAGTAATGGTTTGTTGCAATATAAATATAGTAATTAAGTATATACTATATATATATATATAGTTAAGTATATAATATGTATAATCTAATATATACAATATAAATATATTTGATATAGTTAGTTAAATACAGTTTTTTTATTAAATTTGTAAATCCAGCAGCACTAGTGTTACTTGGTGACTGATTATTCCTAATACCTCTATTAATATATGTACAATCTTTGATGCGACATTTTATACAATCAAGTGCATCTCACAGTTGCAGATTACTATTTAATTTGCAGAGTTGACGGAAATCCTAGCAACTTCTAAAGATTATGACGAGCTGAAACATGTTTGGTCGGAATGGAGAGATGCAACTGGAAAAAAAATGAAGAACAAATTTCTTAAATACGTGAAATTATCGAATAAAGCCTCTCGTCTTAATGGTAAATATACAGTCTCTGAATTCACAGATAACGTTGTTTAAAATATAAAGCATTCAATAAGATTCTATTCGTATGAAGCAGATTTTATTTTTTTACTCAACGATCTAAACCAATACTTCCCAAAAGGATCGGTATCGTCTTACTGGCTGAAGTAATTTATGGGGCGTTTTTTGGTTACTGCAAAAATTATTGACCGTTGGGTACCAACTACGGCATCTCTGGGCAATACTCGCGAGATGTTTTTAAAGCTAGATTAGTATTAAAAATCATCAAACGCGTGTTTGATAAGCAGAATGGTGCACTACAGGAGTTCTCTTACGTTCATGTCCAAACTTGCCTTGTACAAATAAAATTTGAGTCGGAAATTCTTTCAGTTTCCAAATTTTACCTGTGGGGAAAATTCTGTCAAAGGCAAAATTCTGTATTAAATATGGTTTTTATGAGCTGCATCAAAGAAGTTTTTTTCTCACATTCCCATCATTACATTTAGCCAAAAGTTTGTAGAGACATTAGGTATTTTTTTGAAGCAGGAGCGATGAAAAATGACAACGCCTTTGCCGGGAATCGAACCACGGACCTCTGGAATACGTGCCCAGCATGCACACCACTACACCACGAAGGCACGCTAATCAAGCAGGAGAAATACCTTGTAAGATGATTTAGAATAGTCATTAGTTTACTAGCCAAGAAAAAAAAACAGACTGTCGATAGCGGCGATTTATGACTGCTGATGAAAACCTATGGCAACAAATATCGAAAACTTAGTGTCATTACATCAAGTTCAGTTCATTTTCTAACAATATTATTTTAATTTTTTAATAATACTCTTTCGTAAGTACGAGTTTGTAATGGATTGAATGCCCGTAGTACCGATGACAGTTTGATGAAATTTATTTTTCTCAAAACAATAAAAAATTTTTACAGGTCTTGAACTTTTCACACAAAAGTATTCATATAGCTCTTCTCTGTATGACAGAGCATAATCGGTAGTTACCACTTTAAACTACTAAGAATACTGAAAGCAACGCAATGCAAACAGTTTTCTCCCATTCTCCGAGAAATTCCAGCACCTCCGATTTCTCGAAATTCCTGGAAGGCATACACAGTTACTTTTAACGGCGGATACAGTTACAAGGGATCGGAACATTTAACAGGACATTTAACTGACTCATACATTTAGCCGACATGGACAGTTAGCCGACAGAACATTTAGCTGACACGGAAATTTAGCCGTCAGGGCACCTAACCGACACGGATATTTAGCCGACAAGACACATACCCGCACGGACACTTAGCCGACAGGACATTTAACCGACAAGACATTTAGCCGACAGAACATTTAGCTGACAACGCGTACAAATAAACAAAAAACCTGCAACAATGTTTTATTAAAGTTTATTCATATTTATCGGCGAAAAACACTGGTTCCAGGGTATTTAACTGGAAGATTTATAAACAAATACAGTATTTTTCACCCAATTTAATGTGAATAAACTTTCACCTAATTTATTGTGATTTTAAAACTGAACAGAACAGCAACCTTATTTCGAAATCCATTTCGACAATAATCAGACATTCTTTCCTACTACATTTCAGAAGTAGGAAAGAAAATTTCAGCGGTCAGAAAAGTGAAGCGATTTTTGTATGGAAAGAATAAAAAGAGCAAAGTGAAAACAAATGTAACGTAAAATTGAATTTTTTGGACCCTTTCACATTAACAAAAACGGTTCTTCTTTAGTAAATGATGTGAATGATAATTTTCCAATGCTCTCTAAATTCTAATATCCTAGCTTTTTCACCTGTCATTATTATTTTCCGCGACAGATCATGTTACATTTGATTTTGCTTTGCTCCAATCATTAATACTACTTACATTAATACATTAATACCACTAATTAAAATAGTGTTCTTTAACTGCTAGAACCTAGTAGAATTATGTTAGCGACTATTCGCTAAGTTCTTGTGCATAAATAACAACTTCTAAGAAGGGTTAAAATAACCTTTTATTTAAACTCAAATGGGTTCACAAATGGTCACTCTTGGGAGTACAAGAAGTAAACACCTTTGGTTTGAACTTAAAATAGAAAGTGCAAAATTAAACTAAAGTTAAGTAGACTGAACAACCTAAGCTGCACAGAGTTGTTACCGCGTAGTTGGTTCTTATCTAAAAAAATCACCGGCATAGCCTAAGAAGCACGTAAGAAGCACGGCCGGTAAACCAGGAAGCTTTGACTCGTAGCAACAACGTTTTTGGCCGGAAGACAGAACACACTCTTTTTCTTTGTAACTGAAATATCTCAGATTACACCTTAAGTAGTAGATTTTGTTTTATTTTGCATAAAGCGTGAAGCTGAAAACTCATTCTGGCAGGGAAACGTACATAAGAAAATAAAAACGTATAGGAAAAGCTGTCTGAAAATAAAAATAGCTGTTAGAAAAATGAAGTAAAACCCTGGAAAATGTTAAATGATTTCGCTGTTCAGGCTACTGAAATTTTCTATCCCTCTTCTGAGATAGAAAGACTGATCTCACCAATTGCACAGCGGTAAGGTTGCTGAAAACTGGTAGTTCGGCCGACGTTCAAATGCCGCCCGTTTGGCTGGCTGTATGGGCGCTTTTGTGGCTTTTCACATGTCTAACGTGTATATGAGACAGTTTCCCCTAGAAAGTACTTCAAGAAGGTATCCCTTCCCTTAAGCAGATAACCCTCGAGTACTTTTTCATAATCAAATAAAACAAAAATATAGACCTATGTCTGATTACCACTGAAATTTATTTCAAAATCTGTTCCAAAATGGATTGATTTTTTGTTTAATTTTAAAATTCAAAGATTCCTTTATTAAAGTAAAAATATTATACTTATTCATAACCCTTCTCGTTGACTACCCTAGAAACAGCCCGTTTTTGCAGATATATACGGACAAATTTTACTGAAATATTGTCGCATGTTTTTTTGTCTATCTATACGTGCTTTCAATTAAATGTGATGTCGGCTAAAATTACTTGTCGGCTAAATGCCCGTGTCGTTAAATGACCTGTTGGCAAAGTGTCCTGTCAGCTAAATGTCTTGTCAGCTAAATGTGTTGGCGGCTAAATGTCCGTATCGGTTAAATGGCTTGTACTCTATATGTCCAAGTCGGTTATGTGTCCTCTCGATTAAATGTCCGTGTCGGCTAAATGTGCTGTCTGCTAAATATCTTGTCGGCTAAATGCCCTGTCGGCTAAATGTCGTGTCGGCTAAATGTGCGTATAAGCTTAATGTCCTGTCGCCTAAGGTTCTCGTCGGCTGAATAGTTGTCGGCTGGGTGTCACGGACAAATCCAGATTTCGAATAATCCATCTGTATGGTAAAGAACTTTAAAAAGTAATTTTTAAAAAAACTGCCGCTGTTTTCATACACTGCTGGCCATTAAAATTGCAACACCAGGAAGGAATGATCTGACAAACGTCAAAATCACATGAAAGAACGAAGAATATGCAAATGATTAGAATTTCAGCGCATTTAGACGACGCAGAAGGGACAAATTACATCTGAAGCACTGCATTAAAGAAAAGTTGTGTAGGGGATTTCTGATTCGGAAAGCGTTTTGTGAAATCGGAGTTTGCTCAGAATATCGTGTTATGCGCGAATAATAAGAAGAAATGCTTACCAGCAAGTGTCGGAATTCGACAGAGACAGGATCTCTGCCTATCGATAGCGTGGATTATCATTCCGTGATATCACCTTCCGCACTGGTCGACATCTAACCACTGTCATGCGAATATGGAATCAATGGATTTCTGAGTGTCATACTGAACGGCATGCGGGGTCTTAACGCCCTCCCATGACTAACGGCCGAGAGGACAGACATATTGTGAGGTCAGCCCTGCAAAACTGTACAACCATATCATGGACCAATAGTTAGGGATTAGGCATGTTTGCAGTACGCCCAGTATCAGCTCGTACGGTGCGTCGACATTTGCAGCAGCATGCACTATAAGCACGAAGACCATTACTTCGGCTTCTCTTGACAATGCAGCATAAAGGGAGGCGGCAACTCTGGTGCGCCGAACGACAAAATTGGATACAGGAGTGGCACAATGTTGCTTTTCATACGAGTCCCGGTTCTGCGTGCAGAATTCTGATGGCCGTGTACATGTCTGAAAGATCCGAGGAGACCGCATATCGACTCCTTGCATTCGATATCGGCCTAGGGGCATACACCTGGTGTGATGGTTTGGGCAGCCAGTGCTTACACGACACGCACATCTCTAGTTCAGATCGAAGGTAATTTGAAAGCAGATGGATGCATTTCTGACATCTTACGTCCAGTGATTGTGCGCTATATTCGAGACCTACCAAACCCTATCTTCTAACAAGATAATGCAAGACCACATATTGTACGTCGTGTTCTGACCTTCCTCGACACACATGGTGTTCAACTGTAGCCCTGGCCTGCACGGTCTCCAGATCTGTCATCCACTGAAAACATCTGGTCATGGGTTTCTAAGAGATTGGCTCGCCATCCCTCTCCAGCTGATGCGGTTGATGAAGTGGGGCATTAACTTGAAGCATCATGGAATGAATTGCCCGTTTCTGTCATCCGAGCGGATTTGTACTTGCTTTCCAGGTTCTCATTTAATGAAGTACGTCTGAAACATTTAGCTCCGCCCTGCTGACCTGTATCTCTCGGATTTCGACTACTCCTCTGTTATTTGGACTTCTGACGCCGAGCAGATCGCCCGCATTCAACATCTATGCTATAATTGCTGAGATTCAGTAGCCGTCCCATGCCATTACACCAACAACGTTATTGGAGTAACTCTGAGATTGATATGTGAAGACTTATCTACCGCTCTACTGAGAATAATATCCTCAGTTAACCTTTTGAGGTCGGGCTTTGGTAGCAGTAAAAGCTACCAAAGGACGGAGGATCTTGAACCGAATGCTTTCCCCCTTTAAGAAACCACCTCCTGTTTGCAACAAAGATTCTTGTGTGTAGTTTAATGGATTTTCAGAG